GAACAGAAAATCCTATCTTTTGTTTCTATTGCTGTCTCTGATCACATTTAGATGGCTTTTCCCTGTACAAACATCACTGCAAAACATTTTTGGTCTTTTTTTTTTTCGCATGGCTGTGAGGTTTCTTTTTTTCATTGGCTTTGTTCTTTTGACCGTGTGTTGAAAAGTTTTTCACTATGCCCTGTTTAAGTGAAAGCAGCACATCACTGCTGATGTGTCCCGTCCTTCGTCTTGGATAGCCTTCATCAGATGCTGAGGGGGAGCTGAGCTGCAGTCTTGGGGGGGGGAAAGTACAGGTCTTTGCTTTTCTATACTGTCCTGAGTTGTTACAAAAAGTGGCCACATGTAAGATTGACATGTTCATTTTAGAACGGCCTTTTTGAGTTTTTAAATTCTGTAAATATCACATACAACTACACCACATTTTGGTGGTCCTCTTCAGAGTTAAAGGGGACATAATACGCAAAATTCATCTTTTTGGGCAATTAAATACATTTTGTTGTACACTTGGAGTCTCTAGGAGTGCAGAAAAGATGTTTTTATTCTGTTCTGGTCATACTTTTTAGTCTGAACTTTTACATCACAGTATTTTACGGTACAAACTGTCTTTATTTTCCTCTGGCTCTGGGTCAGACTCTGGCTCCAATATGGACAGAGAAGTTCTTTGTTGTTGACATCTTTTGATTAATTGTTACATAAAACGTTTCTGCACAGCTATATAGTCATAAAGCCCTCTATCAAACTGGAATGGTCGGTCTGGAAGCTGGAGGGGGGCGGAGGGTGAAGCACCTCGTTTGAATTTAAAGAGACAGCATCAAAATGAGTAGATTTGAGACACACCTCAGAAACAGGGTGAAAGAGGGGCTTGTGGATTTACAATAAGGAGCAATTCAGACCAAAGCATTGCAGTTCCACTTTATTTAGACTGCAACTGAATGAGTTAAATGAGAAAAAGAAGGATTTAAGGGCAGGATAAGTCCACTTTTAACTGCAGCTTATAGACATGTTATAGTGTCATCACTTTATAAATGGCAGTGCAGCTTCTGTGGGTTTGCACATTAAAAATGGCTCCCGGAATTACAAAAAAAAAAACCAGCATTTTTAAATAACAAATTTTCTGAAAAAAAAAAAAACCCTGAAAATTTTAAGTTAATTATGTTTTCATTTTCAAGATGTGTCAGGCTTCTGGAGCCAAAACATGTCTTTTTTGCACAACAGGCTAGCAAAGTGATCAATGTGTTTTTTCTTCCTGTATTATTGGCAAGATTCTGTTGTGGATTCTTTATTCACTCAGTGCTTAAAATGAGACAAGGACTCATTTTAAACTAGCCTTTTTTCTATTGCATTCAGGATTATAAACATCAGTTTTTATTATATTCTTCATCAACACTACAAAGAGCCAATGCAGAGGAATCAAAGAGCAGTGTGTGGCCCCAGAGCTGCAGGTTGCAGACCCCTGATTTAACCAATTGCTTCAGAAGGGTGGTCATTCGAGAAATCGGTGTTTTGAAGTGGCAGGAAGTAACAACATGGTATCTGTCTGTGTCTGAAGCAGATATGTGTTTAAAGGGTTCTACAAAATGTGTGAGGATGGTGTACCAATCTGGGTTGGTTTTTTCCTACTTTAATGTTTTATTTGTTTCTTTATTTATTTTGTTGTAGAAGTAATTTGTTAAAATTGTGGCTACCTGTGGTGGTTGGAAGGGACAAGTGGACTTTTTCTCATCAGTCAGTGCTTGTTTGAGGCCTGGTGGCAACATGTTCTCAGACTCATTGCTTTATACGTATGTGTGTCTGTGGATGAGAGTGTGTGTGTGTGTGTGTGTGTGTGTCTGTGTGATGACCTGAAAACCGTCAAATGTTACTGTGTTTTTCCGTGTGCATGCTTAGTGCAATCTTATTGTACAGACTGCATGTTTCTGAACTTCTACATGATATCTGTCTGCATCTCTGACTTCTTTGGATGTTTGTAGCTGGTTTGTTTGTTGCTAAAGATGGCTTGAGTTTAAGATCTTACAAGAAACTTCAATCACGTGACATGTTGGTTTCAATGAGGAAGAAGCACCTGACCTCTCCCCCTGTTAAACTGGTAAAGCGCATCTTTGGAGAAAACCCAATCTCCTAATTTCATTCAAGAAAACAAACAAAAACAAGTTTATTTTTGTTAGGAAGCTCAAGTGATACTCTTGGGGTATTAATTCTGGAGGAAACTTTTCTATTTCTTTTTACTTCATCATTTTTGGTCAGGTTTGCTTTTTTTTTAACTGGTCCAACCATAAAATTAGCCTATCAGTCTTCACTGTCACCTTGACAAGCATGCTAACGTTTTATTTTAAACCTGCTAACTGCCAGAAAGGGGAGGGGGGGCTGATAAAAGGAGTCCAATCTACTGAAAGTGGTGCACTGTACATGTTGCTGGGGTAAAAACCGGGGCAGGAAGAAAGTGCACTCTACATACAAACTGTGTCAAGGTTCAACGCAGGTTGCTGGGAGACAGAAAATAAATGAAATAGCTTTTTTTGTTTGTTTGTTTTTAGCTGAGAAACATTTTGAGAATCCTAAAATACAAACATAACGTTCCAGCGTGATGACAATGATCATATTGTTGGTGCAAAAACATACAAAAAGCCAAAGATTTCAGTCTGGTTAGATGTGTTTAGGTACTGTCCTGCAATCTGACGAGTTGGGAATTTAAAAAAAAAGTTGAAAAAAGCCAAAGTTGCAAGCCATGCAGACACATTTTACACAACTAAATTTTGAAAATCATGGCCTATACTGTATTTAGGATGTCTCGTCCCAATGCCCGAGTATGAGTACTTCAGTTTGTGTACTCGCTGATAGAGAATACTTACCGATTCAGAACTTAAACTTTACTCGGTGATTATGAAGCACATTTTATTTTATTTAGAACCTGTTACTAAATCACATAAAAGTCTGATGTTTACATCAGTGAGGTGGGGGAGAGCAGATTGATTCATATTATAATGACGTTAACCTGGAGTTTGGTAGTTTAAATCTTGTAGCTCCACATGTCTTCAGCTACAGAACAGAAGTCCAGTTGCTTTGTCTTTTTTTCTTTTGGATGACTGAGAATCCACAGAAACACAGGACTGTAACGTCTGTCTCGGACCGTATCGATACAAAAGTTACAGGATCGATACTTTAGTTCGTTTTACTTTCAGCATGTTGCTCCGGTTCTATGAATACACCCTGCACCGGAGCAGCCATCCAGAGGCAGGTTCAAATGTAAACAGTTAAACTAAACAAGCACGGCGGACACTTATTTTATTGGTTTTGATTGCACAACTAAGAATCAAGATGCTAACATGTAGCATCCACGGCTAGTGGCCTGTTTGCTTCTGTGAACAAACTGCATGTTTTTATTTGCTCTGTTTTAAAAACTAAATTCTTCTGAATTTGTTGTTTTGATGCCCACATCAGACACACACTGACCTGCTTTGTACCAGTCTAATGGTTTAAACTGCTGGAGTACACCTTAAACTTACATGTTACGCTTTAAAAACAAAGATTGGCACATTTGGAGATTTTTTTAAATAATTAATATTTATCATCAGCATCTTTTTTAGACCTGGATGTGGCTGAGACTACTCTATAATACCTTAAAGAGAGAAGAAAAAAACAAGTTTAAGTGATGAAAATGAGAACTCTGTCAAAATGTCTGTCTTCTTTGTAAATGGTGTTTGCCAACGAATCTCCAACAGTCCCGGCCCAGAGACTGCAACTAGCAGCAGCAGCTACCAGCATTTTCATCTTCTTCCTCTGGATGGAAGCATGTATACAACTTGGACTTAGCGTAGCACTTAATAGCACCAATTTCTGCTTTAACTTCAAAGAAACTAAAATGTTGCCAAACTCAGCAAGAACGTGCTGTTTTTATGTCTCGGGTGTGTTTCTATTGAGTGCGGACCATAAACTGCACTACAGAGATCCACCTTTGGCATTATGTGTTACCTCAGTTAACACTGAATATTTATTAATCTCTGACATTTTTTAAATCAATACAAAATCATCTGCATCAGGAAGCATCGAAAAATGCATTATAGCTCCACCCCCACAATACATTCCAAATCGCATTTCTCTGCATTTCAAAAACGAACAATAATTTATCATTTTTAGACACTAATACATTTACACAACCTTACTGTATTGTTTAGGTCTGCAACATGGCATGAGGGTAATCATGTCTTATGAACAGTTAAATGTATGTTATCTAATCCTGTAAATGAACTTTAACCCAAAATCCTAAATTTGAACCCTAAAAGGAAAAGTTGAAAAGTGAAGAACAAAAACAGAAGGCTGACATTAACTAAATTATGTGATGTGGACTCTACCCTTAATGTATAAAAAAGCCTTGAACTTTTCGTTCCCATCTTTTTTTTTTTTTTGTTCTTTTTGTCATCAGGATAAATTTAGATACATTAAACCCGCAGATGAGGTGGGGCTGTTTCCTGAAAATGACCCCATTGAGCAGAAAACAGGTGGAGATGGTCACATGCTTCTATTCTATGCTCTGCTCTTAAAAAAATACTGCTTCTTTTACAGATTGTTGTTTTATTTATTTATTTATTTTTCCAGCTACACAGGCCATTTTTAATTGTTAACATAATGCTTCTGAAATGTATAATTCATGCTGCTTTCTGCACTGTTTTAAGGAGCTTTATGTCTTTTGATCCTGTGGGTCTATCTTCAGTTAATTTTTCATTTTTACCAGGAAACTATTTTTTTACTCTTCTTTTTTTTGTGTGAACTCCCTCTTCTTTCGCCCTGTTACTAAAACGACTCTTTAAACGTTGAAATCCGACTCTTTACGTGTGAAAAGGTTTTCTGTCAGAGGGAGATTTTTTTTCTTTAAAGAAGTGCAATAAAAATATATAAAAAAAGAAAAAAACTTTCTTATCTTTTGAGAGCATCTTTTGAAAGCTGTGTGTGTTTTCTTGACCATCTTGTTTTCCTCCATCTTCTCCTTCTTGGTCCTATAGGTCCCCTTACAAAGAAACACACTGATGATTTAAGTGATAGTGACCGCACGGACGATGAAGGTATTTTTTCCCCCCCAATGTCAATCTGATTTGCATGACAAGGGAAACCAGACTTACCCTTTCTCCTCCAATTTTTATCTTCTTTGATTTTCTTACATTTCTTGTCCTTTTTTTGAAAGAATGGACATTTTCTTTTTGCTCTTTACTCGTAAACTCTTTTTTGGGCTGAATGTGTTTTGTCCTTTTCAGCTTGATGTCTACAGTTTACATGTCTCCCACCATTCTTTGATATTAATATTGTAACATAAATCTTCTGCTTGGATTTGCCTTTTACTTTACTTTTTTTTTCTTACTCCTCCATGTTGCATCCCACCAGCAGATAGAACAACTTAACCCTTCAGCCAGCCGCTATGACACGTTTGCATGGATTTTCTTTTAATTTGCCTAAATGTGCTCGTGTTTGGAAAGTTCAATTACTGGCTAGCTGGCTTGCATAATATAGTAAAAAAAAATAGATGTCTTTATGTTTTGGGCATCAAAAAAACTTTTTAAAAATAGTTTTTCAAGTGCAGCGTGTGAATTCTTTTGCTCTTGTCAACATCAGGATGTGGCAATAGCATAATGTCTAAACTAGAAAGAGCGCAAACCTCCAACAAGGCAATTTCCCCCTAGCCTGCAACGGTGAAGAATCCTTCAAAAAAATTCTTGGATCCAGATCGTGATCTGAATCATCGCCAAAATTTGATGGTCTGTTCCTTTGGCCAACATCTACCTGTGGTAAAAAAAAAAAATTCATGAAAATACTATGTCCATACGTTTTTGAGTAATTTTGTCCACAGACAGACAGACATACGCGACTGAAAACATAACCTCATTGGCTGAAGTAACAGAAGGTATATTTTGCAACAATTTCAGAAAGATACCAAATTTGTACCTCAAAACAAATGTACACAGT